TTTTATATCATGTGAGTGTCCAAACTTGAATTGTTTGTTCAGAGGTTTGTAAGTGAAAGTCATCTTAGGAACAGGTTTTGGTATATATGTCTCCTTCCCTTTAGGAGGTTCATATCCAATTCCTCTTCCATTTTTCCCACTAACTCCATAGATCATTGAAGCCATTTTACTTCTATATATGCTTTTAATCAGAAAAGTTTGAAAGCTACAGTCATATTCTTTCAGAATATCTTTTGGACTAGGCACAGACTCTGAACTAGAAATTTTTTGAACATTTTGAATTTCTTCTTTAAGTTTAAAAATATTTTATATGAGTTCATATTTTTCTGTTTCATGTTTCTTAAGATCAGATGCAAGACTCTTCTTGAGTTTCTTGTATTTGATTTTGAGCTGACTATAGTTTTCCAGAAGTTCTGATAAACTATCAGCAAGTTCATCTCTAGTAAATTTAGAAAATACCTCTCTTGGTTCTGACTCACAGTCTGAGTCATCTGCTGTGGTAGCCATCAGAGCTAGGTTGGCGTTCTCATCTTCAGAATCAGATTCATCTTCAGAGGATTCTGAATCGTCCCAGGTTGCCATCATCCCTTTCTTTTTACCAAACTTTTTCTTTGGTTTTTCTCTTTGAAGTTTTGGACAATCACTCTTGTAGTGTCCAAGTTCTTTGCATTCATAACAAATTATCTCTCTTCTATTTGACTTTTTGTGTCCAGAAGATTCTGGTTTATCTTCTGACTTCTTGAAGTTCCTGAACTTCTTTTGTCTGTGCTTCCACAAATGATCGATCCTTCTGGAGAGCAAGGATAGTTCGTCTTCTTCTAACGCAGATTCTTCAGAGTTTTCCTCTTCATCCTGAAAAGCATTAGTGTCATTTTTCTTAATTGATTTAAGGGCAAGAGACTTACCTTTCTTCTGAGGCTCGTTCTCATCAAGTTCTATCTCATGACTTCTGAGAGCGCTGATGAGTTCTTCCAGAGACACGTTATTCATATCTTTTGAAACTTTAAAAGCAGTGACCATTGGTGCCCATCTTTTGGGTAAGCTTCTGATGATCTTTTTAACGTGATCGGCTTTAGTGTATCCCTTGTTCAAAACTCTCAGACCAGCGATCAGAGTTTGAAACCTTGAGAACATTGCTTCTATAGATTCACTTTCTTCTACTTTGAAGGCTTCATACTTCTGGACTAGAGCCATAGCTTTAGACTCCTTTACTTGAGCGTTTCCTTCATGAGTCATTTTAAGAGACTCAAACATATCATGTGTTGTATCTCTATTTGTGATTTTTCATATTCCACTTTAGAGATAGCATTTAGAAAAATATTTCTAGCTCTATGATGATTTTTAAAATCAGCTTTTTGTTGTCTATCCATATTTTTTCTATCAACCTTGTTTCCTTCTGAGTCTGTATGATGTGTGTAACCATCCAAGACTATATCCCATAAATCACTATCATGACCTAGAAAGAAACTTTATGGCCTATCTTTCCAATACTCAAAATCTTCTCCATCAAATACAGGAGGTTTGTTGTAACTATTGTTGTTTTATTCTGTAGCCATTTGTGTTTTCTTCTGGATCTTTTCCTGACACGGTTAAGTGTTATGCTCAAAGTCAAGCTCTGATACCAATTGAAGGGTGAGAAAACACTTAAAGGGGGGGGGGGGGGGGGGGGTTGAATAAGTTTCTCTTTTTCTTTATCTTTTTCTTAAAGGCTCAACAAAAATGGAAAGACAAGGTTAATTTTATCCTGGTTCATTTGAACTCAAACTACTCCAGTCCACCCGTCAAGGTGATTTCGCCTTTCTCAACAAGGGCTTAATTCACTATAATCAACTGATTATAAACACACAACAACAGTTGTGACTAACAATACATAAGTAATCTTACAAGTGACTAACACCACTAAGACTTAAACTAGTCCTAGTCTACTTGAGAAATCTGACCAAACTTGGTCTCTCAAGGAACAATTTCAAGAGTTTAATCTTTACAGATAGTGAAATAAAGTTTGCTTCTAATAAAGCTATATCACAACTGTGATTTTTCACTAAGAATAATATTGCACAAAGTGTATGAATAATGAATTTGTGAGCCCAAAATTTTTCACGTAGTTCTTGCTTATTTTGAAATTGATTAGTTGTAGGCTTGCAATAAATGTTCTTCTATATATAGTAAGAACAAAGTGATTGTTGCTGCCTTCAAAAAGTGGAGAGCATTAAATGCTTGCGTATTTTCTTGCACTATTCCATTTTCCAATGAACTAGCGTAGACACTTGAGTGCAAGCAGTCGTCTTTGTATTAAATGAGCAAATGGCACTTGTAAGAGCATGTTTCCTGAAGCTTGACAAGAATTGTTAGCTTTTACATTCTTTCAGAACTTGCTTCACGTCTTGAATTCAGAACATGCTTGCATATCTTCTAAACAACGCTTTGCTTGCTAAGTACTTTTGATCAGCGCTTGCTTTCAAATAAACTTCTGAACATCACTTGCTTTCAAGGTACTTCTGAACAAGGAATCCTGCTAAACGTTAGAAGATGCATTTAAATTATTATCTTACCAGAGTCAGCATCAGCAGTTGCGCTAAAACAAATAGTTCTTTCATCAAAGAACTTCTTCATTTATTTTCAGCTCAGCACATCAAAATGCTTATGTCAGAACATTATCTGAAACAGTTAAATACGTTCATCAGAGTATTAATTATCTAAAATATAATTTATTGTTATCATCAAAACTCTGAGATATGATCAGAACTAATTTTGTTCTAACAACATCTCTGAAGTCACTTTTCGTCCTTAGTAAATCAAACAATCACCCTAAATATCATCCAAACTCATCAAATCAAATAAACAAAATCTACACATAAACAGTCAAGTCTCTGCCCTAGCCATCCAAGTATCATTCAAACTCATCCAAATCAAATAAAGAGAGTGTATACATAATCTATTTCAAATGTTAATTCTATCTAATGCATTAAAACTAACATATTAGAGCTAATACATCAAATAAAAATCAAAATAAGTTAAATGAAAAATTTGCTCAAAAACATATTGATGAATGTGTAAAGTGATTTGATGTTGAATGCAGCAGTTAGAGGGAGTTGGGAATGACAAGATACAAGTAAATGTTGCTTCAAAATTTGACCTTGAGTGAGAACTGAAAAATGTTTATAGTGAGGTAGAGAGGAAATTTTGAATTTCTGAAAAATGAAGAAGGAGAAAAGGGAGAGTCTGACGCGAGGTTTAAATATGTTCATCTAGTTCGGAGATGCATCTCTGAAATATTTTTTGAATTAAAAAAAAAAGTATTTTGAGATGTATCTCCCGACACACCCTACAATATCCTTTGAAGATACATATCTAAATTAACATGCGGTTAAAATAGAGATTTGGTACGTCCGGAGATACATCTCCAAAAACAGGAGACATTTTGAAAATTCCACACAGGACTTAGAAGAATATACAACAGTACAAAGGTGCAATGAGAAATTGTCAAATTTTATCTCATACTTCAACAATTATCTCCCACATTTACAATTCACATAATTTAATCAAAATATGTTTGTATAAATATTTTATGTTTAAAAAAAATATTTCATTTAATTTTGAAGTTCTCCGATTTAGTATTGAAAGTTGAGAGAATTTAAAAAAAAATTATGTACCGAAAATCTTACTATCAAGTTCATTGATATACTAAAACTCTCAGAAATCTTTCTATCAAATTATCTGATACACTAAAACTCCCAGAAGTTTTTCTACCAAGTTCTCTGGTTCATATTATGTCTAAAAAAATTTAAAAAAAATTGCATTCTGAATAACTTATATATAGTGTTGGTGGATTGATTCAAAATATTGATGATACTTGAGTTCACGGTTTTGCGGGTAATATTAGTTATTCCAATATTTTTCATGCCGAAATAATGGTTTTATAGGATAGTTTGTATATGGCCTAAATACTTAGCATCAAAGACCTTATTGGTTATTCTGACTTCAACCCTACTATCAAACTTATCTCAGAATTTGTTAATGTTTGACATCATTATAAGGCGATTCTCACAAAATTAAAGAACTTTTCTCTAAAAATTGACGAATTCAAATATTTCATACTCTTAGAGAAGAATGATTGTGCTGACTACCTCATAACACATAGAACTGGTAATAATTCAATGTACCGATCTTTTACAAAACCTCATATTGAAATCATGACTCTCCTGCTAGCTTATGCTGGTGGGCCTTTATTTTCTGCTTTATTTTCTTTTTCTCTTCTTATTATTGTACCCAAAAAAAAGTACACGGCGCCTAAAGCAAAACTAGACTACCCGGAACTTTATTTTTTTGCTTTATTTTCTTTTTCTTTTTCTCTTCTTATTATTGTACCCAAAAAAAAAGTACACGACGCCTAAATCAAAACTAAACTACCCATCGCACGAGACAACCGAGAACAAATTGATTTGTACTAAAAATCAAAATGTCAAATTTTGAAAGCTAATAAAGATAATAAAATAAACAAATTAATTAATTAGAAACCTCCAACAGATTATTCATATAACATTTTAATAAAGATGGTTTCCATATAAAATACTTGTAAAAAATCAATAATATATATATATATATATAGTATTTCTTAGTTAAACATTGATATTTATCTATTAATCATTTTAGAACAAATTTGACAGTATGCTAATTTATTTATAAATACAAAATAAAATACATTAATAATTATCATCTAATACCCTTGGTGTGCGATATGAATAATTGCACTAATAATAAACCTATAAAAGAAACAATAAAACAGAAATTTGATTATGCTCTCTGATATGATTTGCCAGTAAAAGTATCATATCACAGTCCAGAAAATTCAATGACTTGTGATTGCAATTTGCATACAAAGCAACAATAAATTATATGTCCACAAAATTTTTCTGAGATACTTTTCAAGGATGAATGTTATCAAACATTGGCAGACAAAATTAATTGACTCTTGGTCAAGACACCTCAAACAGCAGGGTTCAATCTTTGGCCACTAGTCGCACATACTTCTTCTCAACTGCAAATTTGGAGCTAGAACTTATCTGTAAGCAATAAATTATCATATGAATATCAGTGTTATTATTCAATGACAATTATTTAACAGAGAAACACAATTAAGTAGATGGCGATACCTTCTGCTCAAGTGTGTCACTCAATTCATTTTCATTTACCACAATGCCAGATTCCTGCAGCGCTTTGAATACAGCTTTTCTCAGTTTCTTCATCTTCAATCCATCCGGATGCTGCCACAAGTAAAACAATCAGCACATTATGTGCAGTAAGAAAATTATACGGATATACCAAAACTCAATTAAAAAAATTGGGCAAGTTCATTTTAAATGCAGTTGAAGAAACTATATTATAATCATATCATGCTTAAAATAAACAGATAAAGATCCCTAACTATATGGCATAGATGAATTAAGCAGAAAACGAGGAAGGGTGTCATCCATTCAAAAATTCAATCCACATACAGATTTCAAGGCTGCTTTGATAAACTTCTTCCATTTTATTTTCCTCTCTTTAGTCTTCTCGACTTGAATTACTTCGCCATTTTCTGTATCCACTGAAGTGTCATTCTTGCACTTTTTAATAAGGCCACCCTCTGATGCATCAAGTTTCCTCTTTTTCTTTTCTGAAGAAACTTCACTCCCTGGTTTCAAGATATTTTGTTCAGAAGACTCTTGCAATTTTGGATGCTCTGCATTTTTGCCTTTCTCTGTACCATCAGAAGCAGGCTCCACTGCTTCTTTTGCATCAGAGGCAGGTTTATCTGCCTGGACTGGTGGCTGCTGCGAAGCATGGAATGCTCGGGCTTTTGCCCCGTGTTTCTTTCCTTCAGCATGGAGAAGAAGCGCTTGCTGGCTTGTAGCTTTTGTATTGCAAAGGCTGCATAACCACAAATGAGCAGAGCATAATGAATAAGACAACTGTAATGGTGACACGATATCTAAGAAAAAACCTTTCTTGGTGAAGAGAATCATTTCCTTCTTTTGTATTAGTCCATAAAGTAGTATCATACATTACAACATGCCGTTTAGGCGGTTGGCGTAGTATCATACATTACATAGTAGTATAAAATGTTTAAAAATTCCAGAGATGAAATCTAGCTAATTAAACTAATAATGTTTGTAACTCTACTATCATGCACTTGCACAAACAGACATTGATCCACAATAGACTTGTAGACCGATAATTAGTTAAGACTCTTAACCTATGTAACACCAACACTTTAGGTTGAAAATATCCAGTATCCTGTCAATGTTGGACACGGACAAGAGACCGATACATGTCATTCCATGCAATAACACAATTTTCACAAATAACTACCGGCTCCAATGTGTTTGTCCAGTGTCCATGTCAATGCTTCATAGCTCTTGACTGACTGAGGACTAATATCATCAACAGCTGAAAATATCCTATTAGACAGAATCAAACCTCAAAAAGCCATTTGTTTAAAAAAAAAAAGGTGCAATGTCTGTATTCTATATATGATTTTATTACATTAAACTTAGCATTTAACCTTCTCCGTTGGCTACTGCATCATTCAGCCATCTGTAAAAAAAAAACATGTAAAAAAAAGGCATGTGTTGCACATTTAACTTGGACCATTGAACTTTCTACACAATAGGCTCGACTGACTTTTTACATCCTCTATTAACATTCACATACAAGATTTAGACAGTGGCCTCATTGCCTATATGATCCATGATCCATAAGAAATAATAGGAAAACTGAAAAGTGTTGGTGCACAAGATTAATAAATGAAGGAAAGGTAAGAGAGAATATATTTACTGCAATGACGGCTAGAAAGCTTACAAAATAAATGATTGCTACTACTAGTCTATTTATACACAGAGTAAATTGCCACGTAGGCCCTAATAAAAATAAATTTAATGACTAAGTTAAAAGATACAAACTAGGAAATACTAAACTTAACAGTTACGCTAACAAACTCAAAACCCAGAAGCTGAGCTGAACATACTTCTGGACGTAACCTCAAAAGCTGCTTCTGACTAACAACAACTTCTTAATATATCAAACTACTGCTTCTAACTAAGCAGTCTCAGAAGCTTACAGCTTCTGACTAACAACCTCAGAAGCTCAACTGCTTCTGAATAACAACAGCTTCTGAATATGAATTACTTCCAACAAAAAACACGAACTTAGAACTTTAGAAGCCCAAATTCCATTCGAACAGGATATGTACGTAGACCATGATAATTATATTTCTATCTTATTATAACTTTTTACAACATAATGCAACACCTCAATTGACATTTACTCTAATTTGAAATCACTAGTGACTACAATGATAACTAGAAAGAGTATCCCAAAGAGTACATACCTACAGAACCACGGAGGGCGATTAGATAAACCCACATTAGTATCAACTTCCGGCCTTTGCTTTTTATCTTTGCCAGGCTTGGCAGCTGAACCATTCAAAGCTTTACCTTGGCCTTTTGGCCCATACTTTTCCTGAAAATCAAACCAAGCAACGTGAGCCGATTAAGAAAATAAGATCCCATTACATTTTAAGGGTTTAAAATATATTTGGCCTACCCATTATAACAAATCACAGGTTTGTTACAATCCTTCATTTTCTCACTTTAAACTTATCTCACTTAGGCAGCACGGCCAAATTCAAAATAGGTTATAATGTAACAATCTAGGGTATGTGTATGTTTGGTTTTTATCGTTGAAGCACTTAGAATTGGTTATGTATATGTAGAATTAATTTTGACATGTTTGGTTGCCCTCGAGTAGAATTGACTTTGCTTTTTAGAATTGATTTTACTTTGAAGTTAGACTTTGTGTATGGTTGGTTTAACTTTTTAGAAGAGCCAAAAGCAATTTTAGAGGTGTAGATTGCTTTAGGAATTCACTCAAAATCAATTATTTTCACATTAGAACCAAACACATGCCTAATCTATAATCTATGCATAATCATTCAAACAATCACGAAAATCACAATGCATAAATGCGATACATTAGGACGAGAAACTCACGGCTTCTGTAATACACTGAGTGTGATTCTGAACGGTGTCTCTCCCAAACATTTGGCCACAGTCAATGCATGAAAGCTACAATAGCATAATGAAAAACAAAAATAAGCAAGGAATCAAATTGTGCAGAGAAATGGAATCGATTATGAATGAAATTGAATAAGAACCTTGTTGGCGGAGCATGACCGGAAGTGACTGGGTAACTTAGGTTTTTTGAGGTTGTCCCCACAATCTTCGCATTGAAACCAAACCATGTCTGAGTTTTAAGGTTAGAACGATGGATCTGTTCTGCAACAGATGTTTAACCTAATTTGGGGTTTAAGAGTGCTAGGGTTTTCCACTGCTCTTCAGTCGCGTTTATCGTTACTAGAGCAATTTACCACGGAGGGTCTAACAAATTCTTGTTTTTTTTACTTTAATTTTTTTACTTCAAATAAAAACTTAGATTTTATTTTAGTTTTTATAAAATTTATTTTATATGATATACAAGTAAAGATGAAAATAAATATCAGAATGACTAAAAGAGTAAAAATTACAAAAAAGAATTAAAATGATAATTAGTGGTCAAATTTTTAATATTTGTAAAAGCTAGTTTAAAATATATTTAAACTTTAACTTTGTTTAAAGATAAAATCATCAAGATTTCATGTTTTAAATAACTCAATTAATATGTGTTAGTTGGACTAAATGGGTGTAATATTTGATTATTTACTGAAATATTTATTTTTATTTATTTATTAATGTAAACAAGCTGTTAAATTTTTTAAATATAATTAAATTTTATTTGAGAAAATAATCTTAAATTATATTATTTAAAAAAATAAAATTAATAAATTTTATTTAGGGTTAAATATGTTTTTTTTACAAAATCAAAATTAACTAATTTCATTAGTAATCAAGTGTTCAATACAAGGAGAAATAAGATAAAAGGAATTACATCTAGACCAAGAATTGGTTGTCTTCGCTAACGAGTGATTAAGAAAAACTGAGTTACCATTGTTATTGGACTGTAACGCTTGAATCATCCTAAGAGAGTCACTTTCAAAGATGACACGATCAAAGTGCAAATATATAGCTCCCTGGATAGCCTCTTTGAGTGCTAAGGCTTCTGTTTCGATAATAGAGGAATTACCAATACTCCAAGTCGCTCTTGCACTTACAAAAGCCCCATAATAATCTCGCACACACCACCCACGATTGTAAATTTCCAACTGATTGTTGTATTCAGCATCCGCATTACATTTAAACCACCCAAGCTCGGGAGGGCTCCAAGCTAACAACTGATTCTACCTGCTATAGCTAACCGGATCCTGTTGGACCAAAACCCACTCCTGCCACTTATGAAAAGCAAGCCAACCAAGCCTGGAGACTTCCTCTTTCTCATTATTCCACACCATATCATCTATTTTTCCATATACATTCCATCATGACGGCAACTCTACCAACTGTATTCATATCTTCTTTATTGCAAATATCCAGTATATGTTTTTAGTCTTCGTACATATTGTCAATTTTGTTTTTAGTTCATATAAAACTTTCTTTAAAACGCGGTCATCCCAAAACTTTTCATCCACACAATTGGTCAGAGAGTTATGCAAATTTTTGAGGAGGAATACCCTGAATTTGAACATAGGTTGTATCTAAGCCATATATATGCTAACTTCAGAAATAAGTTTGGATGAGGTACATTGGTCAGAGATCTCATGATGGCTACAACAAAGGCAACCTACTATGAAGCATACGAAGCTAAGATGATGCAAATTAATGAGGTGAGTTTAAATGCTTTTGAATGGTTAAATGTTGTACCCAAACATAAATGGTGTAAACATGCATTTCCCTTTTACTCTAAGTGTGATGTTCTGATTAATAACCTTAGTGAATCATTCAATACAACTATATTGATGCAAAGGTATAAACCAATTACAACCATGTTTGAGCGGATTATGAATTATCTTATGGGTAGGTTTGCCACACTTAGGGAAAAGGTATAAAATTACAAGGGGGATAATGTCTAAACTACTTAGGAGGTTAGATAGAGAGATAGAAAAAAGTGAAAGTTGGTTGCCAACATATGTAGGGAGATTAACATTTCAAGTGACACGTGACATGTTCACAAATAGCCTTGTTGTAGACTTGGAAAAACAAACTTGTTCATGTAACTTTTGGGACTTGGTTGATATTCCATGTATACATTGTGTTCTTGCAATACATAAGAAAGTTGATGATCCCACCATGTACGTACATAAGTGTTATCATATGAACACCTATATAACATGTTATAATGAAGTTATCACTCACATAAACAGAAGAAAAAAAATGGCCCAAGACTACCGATCATGAAATCTTGCCACCAATGTTCAAGAGGGGTCCAAGAAGGCCAAAGAAACTTTGCATAAGAGAACTAGGTGAGGAACCCAAACAAGATGGCAAAGATAAAATGCAAGACATGCTTAGAATATGGGCACAACACCATAACATGCAAAAAGAATAAAAAACTTACAATTATTCCTCGTGAATTGGTAACACCTATTAAAACACCCACCAAGGCAAGTAAAACTCTAATTGTCCAAACAAGACCAAAGAAAAAGGGTTAGTATCACTTATTCTTGAAACAATTAGCTTACTTGCTTTTTATTGTCACTGATTCTTGACAATCATTTATCTTCACTTGCATTTGTTACAAGGTAAGCCCAAAGGGAATGTCCATGGCAATAAGGGAGCCCTAATTAAAAATAGAAAAAGTAATGCACAAGCTTCTGCTCAATCATTTTAACCTACACAACATGCCCAAGCTTCTGCTCGGAAATCTGCTTAACCTGCAATAGAATCAATTGTTCAACCTGATGCACAAGCTTATAATCGACATGCAACACAAGCTTTTCATTTATATGAAATATAATTAGTTGTTTAACCTGTAGCACAATATTCTAATCAACCTACAACACAAGCTTATGATTTACCTGCAAGAAAATCATTTATTCAACCTATATCACAAGTTTTTCTTCTATCTGGTGAGGAAATGAGAAGGTTGTGTGGGATAGACCCTAAAACCTTGGCAACATTGTTGAATTATGAATACATATTAGACATTGAACAATTAGAATTAATACTAGTCCTGTCAAACTAATGTCAATTGGTGTCAGAACATTCTTTGGTGCAAGACCAAAAATGCCTAAGCTTACTAAGTCAACTGCATATAAGAAACTAGAAGTTTTCAAACTATTTATTTAGAAGACAAGTATGATTGATCTTATAAGTTACTCAAGCATATTGATCTTGTATGTTGTTTTAAGTTATATACTTTACTAACATTGTGTTGTTATAGCAGCTGAAAAGTATGATACTGACAAGGAAAAATGTCAAGCATGTTTAAATTCCAAAAATAAAGAGTGATAGACTTATGACACTTAAAACACATGACATTGTGGGACCTGGGAAGCATGCAGATGATCCATTTATGATTCCTGAAGAAGAATATATAATTGATGGCAGTGCTAGGGGGAATAAGACTTAGGATGACATTCATAAGGGCTTGTCTCAATGAATTTTTATTATGAATTACTTTGTTACTTTGTTTTTGAACATCAATGTTATGAAATGTCAAACTTATGTACTAGTATGAATTATTGTGGTACTTGGGTTTGGAACATCAATGTTATGTAATGTTAAACTTATGTATTGTCATGAATTACTATTTACTTTGGTTTGGAACATCAACGTTATGTTATGTCAAACTTTTGTGATATTTTGTATGATGTCATCAATTTTATGTGATTTATAATGAGTTTATCTCGTTTATATTGCCATACTAAGGCAATTTATATTCGCTTACTAAGGTAAATTATATCAAATTGAAGAGTAAATCTTGTCATCTGATTTATTATGTTGTGTCAAATCATGGTAGGTTGAAGTGTCAAATTATGTCAAATTGAAGAGTCAGATTATGTAAATTGAAGTGTCATAATGAGGAAAATTATGGACTATCATAAGGAATTCATACTGTCAAATTAAGCCAAACTCACATTTTTATGAGTTTTCGTGATGTCACATTTTTGCCCAAATTCTGGCTGTCAAGTTTGGTACTGTCAATTATACCAAATTCAAGTTTTACTATGCATATCGAGCTTCAACATTTCAATTTTCAATTCATTTCATTACCAAAAAAAATATTTCAATACCTTTCATTACCAAAGCTAACATTTCAATACATATCACTGCATATGCAGTTTGAACATAATAACACCATAAATCAAACTCTTAAATATTCAACTATTACATTTTAAAACAAAATTAACATTAAACATAAAAGAGATTGCAAAACACAACATTTTCAAATTTATATTAAATTTCTCTGATTTCAACTTATTCTTCAAATTCTTGTTCTTCTTTTATGGATCTTCATACAACTCATTTAAATAGCCCATAACTTCCATATATTCTAACTTTGAGTTCATAATGCTCCCATATTCATTTTCAGCTTTTGGTTCAATGTCTTCATCCCATATGAATAAATAACACGTTTCATCACTTCTCCAAAAGGAACATCTCCAAAAAAGTTTTCCTTTATTAGATCCTTTCTTGCATTAATATAAAACCACCCGATTTTCAGCTCGGGATTTTACAAAAGAATAACACATGGAAACTCCTTTGGTTGGGTTTGTCTTTAAAGAATACATTGATACAATTCAGGAGCAACACAAATTGAATCAAATCAAAGTAAATATGGGGATGACGAAAATGAAGAAAACATGATTGGGGAAGATGAAGGAATAATGACTAAGGAAGTAGAGAATACAAATTTAGTTTAGGGTTGGGGAAAATGTCCTTTATTTCACCTGTTAGGGTATTTTATTAAATATTTTCTATGTTGTCATTCAATTAAATAAAATAAAATGATTGATTTAATCCACGTTTTTGTACCCCAAAACTTATCCTCTCACTTTCTTCAAGACATTCTCCTAGGGTCTTCATTTGCTCAAGGTTGCTCAAGAATTGATCAGACAAATTCTCCTCTTAAGTAATGGATCAATAACTAGGGTTTCACTTTTCTCAAGGGAGATTGGGTTTATAGGGCTTAAAGTAGGTTTCATGGTTTCTCATATGTCTTCAAAAATGCTCACACCAACTTTCATGCATTACATCACAAGTTTGCTCAGTCAATGACACGGATGACTGAAGATTAACTGTAATGGGTAAAAAGTCAAATATGGTCAACATACAGTCAAACTTCAAGATTTTTGGTCAACATTAAAAT